TATATAAGATAAGTCGCGACAAAATCAATCAACAATTTGCTTATGAGTTAAAAGACAACAATAATCGCCTTATAATAGAAGCTCAAGAAGTTGCCGAACATCTGATGACAAATCTATTTCCTGAGGATAGACCACAAGAAGATAGTGATCACCACAAAGAAGTCAGACTTTTATCGGAAAACACACAAAACACATCAAATGACATACCATTTACAATACCAGAAGTTACTGGAGTTATTAACGCACAAAATCACAAAAAAGCCCCGGGAGTTGACGGCATTACCGCTGATATAATAAGATTTTTGCATAATATTGATGCCAATGTGTTCACCAATTTGTATAATAAATGTCTTGAAATTGAATGCTTTCCCGACATTTGGAAGCAAAGTGTGGTAAAAGTGAAACCAAAACCTAACAAAAAAGATTATACAGTCAGTGATGCCTATCGTCCCATCAGTCTATTACCAGTTTTTGGGAAAATTTATGAAAAACTTTTGATAAACCGAATAACGTATCATTTAAGAACTACTGGTGCCATAAATGAGAGACAATATGGGTTTACTGCCCAGAAGTCTACTGAACAGGCCTTACATTCAGTCGTCGATTTCATTCAAAATGGATTCAAAAGCAAAGGCTTTTCACTCGTCATATCCCTTGACATCTCCGGTGCCTTCAACTACTGTTGGTTTCCTAAGATATTAAGTCAACTGAAGATCAAAAATTGACCAAAAATCTATTTTATTCAATGAAATCCTATTTCACGGAAAGGAAGGCAGAAATCTGGTACTTAAATAAGACATACAAACGAGATCTGACTGTTGGCTGTCCTCAGGGAAGTTCCTGTGGACCTGGCTTATGGAATATAAGTTTCGATGATATCATGGATTTGTCGGATGACAGAGATGTAATCATCGAGTGCTTCGCCGACGACACCATAATAAAGATATTTGCAGATAATATACCAGATTTAGAGTCAAAAGCAAACGATATTTTGATTAAAGTCGGAAAATATGGGGTAAATAATAAACTTATTTTTAATGTCAACAAAACACAGGCAGTGCTATTTACCCGTCGCTTAAAATATAATCCACCGGTGCTTTCATTTGCTGGCAATACGATTGCCCTCAAGAATGAATTTAAACACTTGGGACTCATTATTGATTCAAAACTAAGTTGGAGATCACATTCAAATTATGTGGAGCATAGAGTAACACAAATCGCCAATAATTTACTGAGATTTGCCAAGAATAAATTTGGATTAAATCAAAATGCCATCAAAATTATATATACCGGAGCTATACTACCGATTATTAGTTATGCAGTGTCTGTATGGGCGCCGGCTATTGACCGCAAGTTTGTGATAAACCCTTTGAACACAATTCAGAGGAGGTTTGCCTTAAGGATCTCAAAAGCCTACAGAACTGTGTCGACAAACGCTGCGAATATCATCTCAGATTTAATGCCAATAGATCTCTATTTGAAAGGGAAAGCCGTTCAATACTTTGCATACAATCATATTGCGTGTGATTTGACAGACTTTTACTTTGAAGGAACCAGTATTACAGTCCATGACATTCAGACAAGAATAGACGTCAGACAACTACCACACTATGGATTGAAAAAACCATTGAATTCATTGCAAACACTCTCTGACACGGAATCCTATTATAATGTGTATATCGATGGGCGGTCTTCTGACCGCAACACCGGCTCNCTCTGACACGGAATCCTATTATAATGTGTATATCGATGGGCGGTCTTCTGACCGCAACACCGGCTCTGCATTTGTGATAAACCACTCAAACCTCACGATTACCACCAAAAAGATAAAAATGTCTAAACATTGTACTGGATTTCAAGCAAAACTTTTGGCAATTAAAAGAGCATTGGTATGGCTCAAGACATGCAACCGACAGAAACACCACATAATTGTCAACATTTGCGATAAATCTGTGTTCAGAGCACTTCACGACTACAATTCAACCAATCCTTTGATTCATAACATCTATAAATTGTTTTATGAATTGATGTCTAATAGCATTGATGTGTTTATAAATGAAGTCGATTTCAGGTCTGAAATACAACTTAAAACAAGAGATTTAGCGAAAGCAGCGATTGATTCACACAATTGTATTGAATATAATTTGATACCGAAATCAGTTCTAAAACACACCATCCGTGAGAAGAATATCGATATATGGAGTGAAAGGTGGGCTCAATCGACGACTGGCTCTCAAACAAAACACTACTTCCCGACAGTGAGGGACAGAATTGCCGCCAAATCCTATACACCGGACTATCACACGACACAAATGGTGACAAATCACGGGGAGTTTGCCTCATATCTTAAACGCTTCCGTATTAGGGAAGGCGAAGAGTGCGAGTGTGGACAGGGATCTGATACAGCAGACCATCGGTTATATGATTGCATCCGATATAATGACCAGCGAAACGAATTGATTGATGCGATTGAAAAGGACGGACACTCGTGGCCTGTGAACCACAACATCTTAATCAAAAAATATTATAATTATTTTCATAATTTTTGTAAATTAATACTTAATTAGTGATTAACTCTCGTTGTTATCTTATATTTTGCATTTATACTGTATTCAAAACTTTTATATTTTGCCTAAATTTATACTGTATGCCCTTATTATACTTTGTGGTATAAGGGCCACAAACATCAAAAATAAATCAGATATTATATAACCTAACCTAACCTAACCAACCTTTGAATTACTTCATTTTGTCATATATTGACAAAAAGATGAGTCGAGAAACTTTGGAGTCCAGAAAAACACATTTAATTAACTTTAAATCATTTATTAAATTGATTTTGACATAACTTTTTATTACAAACGATATATTTATAATATTTGTATCAAAATATGAATTATGTAATGACAATACATTTTATGATTTTTGTAATATTTTTATCATTTAAACACAAATGGTATGCAAAATATGGAAACAATGATTGTTGCGATGGATGGCCAGAGATGTTGTGCTTCGTTGGCACAGGCGATGGGATCGTTGTCTTCGAGGAGTGGTAGGAAGTGTGCCAATGCGTCGGCGTATGTGGTTTCCGGGGGCAGGGATTCAATTCGGTTGGTGTTGTCGCTGAATATGAGATCCGATTGATTGCGATATTCGCCAAATAATCGGAAACTTTGCGGCACTTTATTAGTGAATGTGTCGCTGAGGGCTGTGACGAGTTGCAGGACTTCGAACCGCAACTCCTCGGGTGTCTGCGAACTGGTGGCCACAATGGGCGCCGGTATGCGTGCGATGTGACAGCTCTGGTAGTCAGTAATGGGCGCCAAATAACTGTTGAGTCGAAAGCGCTGACTGTTGTGAACACTGTTTGGATTGGGAATTGTGTTGAAGTCGTTGATCCCGTTATTCGTCAATACGTTTTGACTTCGGTTTTGATTTCTGCAAAGGAGTCGGAAGTCAACGGAACGCAACTCTTTGGCCCACTTCTGCTCACTCTTGCCGTCCGTCAGCTTAAGCGCAGTCTTGTGACTGACAAACGCCACGTCACCCCTCCCTTCCACCAGACATCTAATGATTACACAAACAAATGGTTAGCATTTGGATCACTCAAATGAGAGGTGAATATACTAGAGGCCCATAGAGTGCCCATAGAGTGCACTGACCTGAAGGCCCCCTCTTCACCACTGAATCGTTCAGCGGCGGACATATCGCACACATGACTCCCATTGTCGTCGCCAATACACTGCGAGCAGAGACTGTCGACTCCACTGCCATTGGAGTTGACTCTGGCGTCTGCAGCCCCGGGAACACACGAACCCGTGAAGAAGGCCGCCATCTCTACGGCTCGGTTGCAGTTATCACTTGTCAACACCCCGTCCTCGACCAGAGCGCCCACCGGCACAACCCAACCAGTGGTCTGTCCGAAGCCCGTGTGACACGACCTCTTGCCCCGCAAATCAGCCAACGATCCGACCAATGAGTCGGCCCTCACAACAGCCACCGAATACTCTGGAGAGTCGGTCACTTCGGTTGCGATTGGCAACAGAAAGTCATACCTATTGGCAAACAATTGATTCATTAGTGAAGACACACCAAAGGGACGATTGGATAGAAGGGACCAAACCTTGAGGCGCGATAGAAGTGTTGTGCGTCCAGTGCTATGAGGTCTGCCTTCCGGTTATTGACGGCTTCAATGCAAGCCTTGTGAGAGTCGGCCGAATGGCACCGAATCTGCGGTCGTATTCTGCGAGCGAAGGCCGCCTTCTGGAGGTCCAGACATTTAGCCAACTCTTTGGATGACGTCAAACAAAACGTCAGATTCTTTCGCTCACATCCCGGCAATGGCTTCTCAATCGACGGAATATAATTGCCTTCAAACGAGTCAATCAGTCATTCATTTATCAATATTTCTTAAGTTATGTATTAGTTATGCATTAGTTTTCACGTATTTATTAAACTCTCAAACATTTGTTTCATTCAAATATTTCAAATTAATTATTCATTCAAACCATTTTCTTACGTTACTGTTACTGCTTATTACATCTATGGTCACTATTATACAGTATATCTTTCATTTACAGTTATTCTGGTGTAACTCTTAAACAATTTTTACTACATTTGTCGGTATTTGCATTTTCTTGATGAATTTAAAATGATATAATATAATAATAATGATAATTTGCAAATGAGATAATTAAAAATAGATTTGCTAAACCGAAAACTATATAGCAAAATATAATAATAAAAATGCTTAATGTAAGTTTGGTGTAACTGTTATTATAGCCAAGCTATGAACGCATTTATTACTTTGTACATTTTTGTTTCAATTCTCATTTTATAAGCAATTACAACTTTAAAGATTCAATAGCTATAAATTCAAGATTGTGAAATCTAATTCTTAAAATATTAATTTCAAAACAATATATTGTTTTAGATTTTATAGTAAAAGAAACAATGTACTTGCTATTAATCGTGGCTTCATATTACTACAAATTTTGTCATTAATTTAAAATCACTTTTGACAATACAATAAAATAAAATGTATTTTCATTATGATTTCTAAATTCAGTATTACAGTACTAGTAATGTGTGAATTAACGCCCTAACCTAACCTAAACTACCATTCAATTCATACACAACTTGATTATTGCGTGAATCGTTTTCAATAGTATTCACAATAAATTAATAACAAATAACTCAAACGTCTAATATATTATATATTAAATAAAACTGTCATTTATTTTCTTCATTATAATTGTTAAGTGAAAACGAGTCGAAATTGATAATACATTTATCGAAAACATAATGAATAAAAGTTTTTAATAATAATCAATCACTTTTTGTTTGATTGCGTGTTTAAGCCATCAATGAATACAATCTTATAAAATAATGTTTAATAAATGACATTATAATAGCATTTCTTTATGAGAATCAATATAATTCTAGGAATTTAACTCATAATTGAGTAGCAATTTGCTGTCAAATGAAGGCAATGAGGGCACTACAGCACTACAGCAATACAACATACTTTCAATTCTTATTTCATATCATTTATTTTAAATACTAAACAATTTTTGATACCTTTTATATTTTAGATAATTCTAAATCCAACAAATTTCTATATTTTGTTTAATTTATATGTAGTATATTTATCTAAAAATATAGCTATTATACAATAAACCTATATTAATTCAAAATATGGATAGGCATATAACCAAATCAGACTTTTTATATTATTTATATTTATATTATTTACTGTATATTATACTTTTATTAAACTTTTATAATGAATAAACACACTCAGAATGAATAATAAAAGTTTAATAAAAGTATAATATACAGTAAATGCTATTTTCCAA